GTCGCTGGTGTTGCTGTTGCAGTTGTGGTGGAGCAGGACAGAAGCACAGGAGGAGCAGGGGGAGAGAACTTTGAATGAACAGGGTGTCCATGCATTCCGCGTACTCGGTCCCGTGCGCGCGCCCCACCTGTGTGTCGGAAGCTTGGGTGAGGCGGGGTCGCCACATTCCGCTCGCCACGGGGGAATTGAACCACTACAGGGTTCCCAACCCTGTGGTGGAATCGCCACTTTCTGCGCGCCAAGGGGACCTGAACCACCACAGATTTGCACGAAAATTGTGTCAAATTTTGTCAATTTCTAGCAAAGCGATGGTTGATTGCCAAGCCCCAGGACTATACATATACCGAATTAATCCTCAGGGGTACGGGGTCGGCGGGTTTTTGCACATGTTTTCCTTTGGTTGCTGCATTTCACCAGGTTAGCAATACTGTTGCATTTGTCTTGCTCTTGCACTTTTGTTACTTCTGCACTAGTCTCGGCCCGAGTCCTTACAGGGGTAGACTTAGACGGCGGAAGTCGGGCGGATGGTGGAACCCGTTTTGAATCCTCTGGTTTGGGGGACGCTGCTGCCGGAGCATGAAGGCAGCTGCGTCACTTTGGTTGTGACCATGGATGAGCATGGCAGGTGGATCAATCTCGCCTCGAAGCAGCGAGTTGTTCTGGATCTGACGGCGCATGTGGGTGTTGTGCTTTCTATCCATGCCTGGATTCTCACTAAGGTTACTAAGGCCGGAGTGGCTCATTGTGTTGCCGCTGATCGCTCGAGTCATTTTTGTCTTTCAAGCTTTTCGAAAAGCCCCCGATTTCATGTTGAGCTTTGCTCAGGCCTAGCTGGAACTAGTTTGGGTTCAGTGGCTGCAGGGTTCCATCCCATTTGTGGAGTGGACTTCAAGCAGTTGGCTGTTGATGCCATGACCCGGAACAATCACCCGTCGCCAATTTTGGGTGACATCAGTGACTCGGCCACTTGGCTTGCCATCCAAAATTGCACTCAGGGGCATCTTTGTGGAGCGGTGGCAGGTTTTCCTTGCCAACCTTTTGCATCGATAGGATCCAAACTAGCCTTTCGTGACGCAAGAGCTGCAGTTTTTCTTAGGGTACTTGATGTGACTTGGATTCTGCAGAGTGATTGGGTTTTGCTAGAGTGCACACCAGCCGCGGGTAAGAATGCGGACATCATTCGTCTCCTCGATGAGTACTGCAAGATTCGTTCCTTTCACTGGACGTCTGTGGTCCTGAAGTTGGAGCAAGCCTGGCCTTGCAGGAGAAAGCGATGGTGGGCTCTCCTCATTCCGATTGATGTTTCGCTTCCGCAGCTTGTTGATCTTCCTTTCATTCAGGCCAACCAATCGATAGCAGGTTTGCTCAAGGTTTGGCCACGTTGGAGTGATCAGGACGAGCATGCCTTAGCTTTGGATGACCAGGAGATTCATCTCTTCAGTAAGCACGGCACGGATGGCAATCTCTTGGATCTCAACCATCATGCACCTACACTGCTGCATTCTTTGGGACACCAGGCCAGGAGTTGTTCTTGCGGCTGCAGGGGTCCACTGTCAGAAGCGCTTCTTGCTTCACAGGGATTGCACGGTGTATTGGTTTGAGCTCAGGATGACCAGCATCGACTACGTCATTTGCACCCCAAAGAGGCCTCTTGGTTGGTCACCATTCCTGGTACCTTTGTGCATAGTGCTGCAGTGAGAGATGATCTCCCCCTCATTGGGCAAGTGGCCGCGCCACTGCAATCAATGTGGATGCTCAGCTTTTTGAGGCAGGTTACTGACGCACCGGATTTCGATCAGCGTGGCATGGTCTCTGATTTTTTGAACTTCCACAACTTGTCACACGCTGAGCGGTGGCCCATTGTTGGCATGTACGAAAAGCGAAGTATCACTGTCAACGTGGATCAGGAGCCAAGCTTTCAGGTTGCCATTGACACGCCCTGCACTGTTGGCCAACTTCGACGTGCTTGCTGCGCCATGGGCATTGATGTTCAGGCATTTTTTGCTTGGGAACAAGATCGCCTCTTAGCAAATGATGCATTGCTTCGGACAGCCAGCATTCACTTTCATCCCCCTCTGGTGGGATGTGGGAAGCAGTTTGATTTAGAGAAGCAAGGCGTTCCTTGTTGTTTCCAAAGACAGGGACTCGATGACCTTACAATGTTGCAGCAAGCCAGGAGATTGATGCAGAAGTCTGGACTTGCTGATACTCAACTCTGGAGCCCGAGGCATATAACCAGTTTGTTGGAGATGTGGCCAGCCACTGCCAGTGACGACATCAAGAAGTACCTCATCCATGAGCAGAACTTTGGTTTCCTTTGGATTGATGGACACTGGATTGTTTTCCACATTTCCGTTGAAGCGGATACCACAGTTGCCCGCTTCTTTGATGGGTTCCAGGCTGAGCTTCCGGCTGATGCTGACATTTTGGCGGCACGCTTTGCAAGAGCTGCAGGTACTCCCAACACCATTGTCAAGGCTGAACACTGTGTGCCTCAAACACATGGTTCTCACTGTGGAGCAGTTGCACTACTCAACCTCGGTGTAATTCTCAATCTCTGGCAACAAGCCGATGAAGCTACAGCTGAGTTGTGGCATCAGATGCTTTTGTCCAAGCAGCAACGGCAAGGGCGGGGCAAAGACGAAGCAGCAATTACCATGCTTGCTGACATCCTTCATTCCAAGGGTGTACCAGCCGATCAGTTACAGTCACGTGCGCAAGCTGCCATTCGCAAGCTCACTTTGCCTGTCGTGGAGAAGGCTTTAGCTGCCAAAGACCCGTGGAAGGCATTAAAGGAAGCAGGGTCTCTCTTGTCCAAGCCGTTTCAATTTGTGCAGTATTCTGAGCTTCAAGCTCACATTCAGAGTCGTGCGGCAACCAAAAGAGGGGCTGATGGAAAGGTCGCCAACCAGAAAAAGCCCAAGAAAATTCCTCCAACCTTGTCTCTTGAGGTTGATGACATGGAACTCATTCCAGGCAGCTTTGTTGATCCAGCTGGAGATGACTGTCCTGTGCTCACCATCCAGGAGCTGGTCAGCGACGCCAAAGGAGTGGCAATCGTGACACAGGAAATGGCTAAGGACCTTCGATCAGACTCCACCAACCTCAGTGTGGACTCCTTGGCGGTAGTGACCATTGGAGAGCTTCCTGCTGATACTTCGGATCGGGTGACAGCTGTTCAATGGCCTGCTGTCTACAAACCCACTTCGGAGCCGATTTTGGTTTCCGGTTCACTAGTACAGCTTGGGGATCTTACAGTTGAACGGAAAAAGCATGAGAGTGCACCAGAGGTTCCACAGCTCGACACTACAGTCCTCAGACTAAGTGTGCACAAAGATATGTGTGATTGGGATTGGGATGAGCTCAAGCAAGGCCCGCTCAAGTTCCTCGTGGCCAGGACTCCTCAGCTTCAATACTGTGATGGCACGGACTGCATGAAGAACTGTTCCAAGTTTCACGCAGCAGTTGATGAAGCTGTCAATACAGTCATTTTGGATGCATGGTCCTGGAGATGGAGCACAAACGACGGAAAGCAGGTGAAGATTGCCATTGCGGACATGTTTGGAGTGTACCTAAGGGTTCCTTCTTCTGGGCTTGATTCTCTCCTCAAGATCAGTGGTTGGCATGGCCTTTTCTTTGAGCCCCGCTCCAATGTTTCGCAAGGATCTCATCCTGCTTACAAGGTCGTTTGGCTTCCGAAGAACACCAGTCTTGACGAAGCGCACAAGAAAAAGCGAAACATTGATGTGGTGTTGGGATTGGCTAGGATGGCTTGCAAATTGGGCCTCCGCATCAACGTCAAAGATGAAAGTATGGTCCTCAAGCAGCTTTATCCTGACTCCAAGCAAGTTGCATGCAAAGTTACCCTCACTTTCGAAGTTGGACCACTGCCCTTTGGCATGACCAGGGAGGACATTGTGCTTCTGCTCTCAGCATGGAAATGGTTGGCCAAGCCCATCAGACCTCTCAGATCCACTCAGGTTGGCAAGTATTGGCAAGTAGGTTCAGAGCAACCTCCCCCTGCTCCGATCCTACCCACAGATCAGGGCGAGGTCACAGTTACCTTGAGATCGCAGAATAGCAATGAGACGGAGCAGAAGAAAGTGGTCTTTGCTTCTGCAAAGACGCAGGCTCGCATGAAGGGTGTCCAAAGCAACAAAGCTCTATCCTCCAAAGCTGGTGAAGCTGAAGACAGTTGGGTCTCAGGCGGTGATCCTTGGCAGAATTTCAAACCGACTTCGCACAAGTCTGAGGAAGTGGTCTTCACACAGAACCAGCAACGCCCCTCACAAGAGGCCCGCTCCAGGATGTCCCAGATGCAGCAAGAGATCCACGACCTCAAGAGTCAGCTGGAGAAGACGGGCACAGAGGATGTGCACATGACTTCTAGTTCGCTTGCACAATCCTCTGAGCTGCAAGAACTGCGTGCACAGACCAAGAAGCATGAAAGCTGGTTTGCTGAGCAAAACAACCGAATGACCAGTTTTGAAACCACATTGCAGGCTCAGGGACAGCAGATTTCACAGCTGAATGAGTCTATGCAGTATCAGTCTTCGGCCACTTCGGCGCTACAGCATCAAATGGTTGAAATGCAGACGTCCTTCAAGGATCAGCTTGCCTCCAGCTTTGATGCACAGAATGCCAGGCTTGAAGCATTGTTGGAGAAAAGGTCGCGTACCTCGTGACTATCAGGGCGTGGGAGGTCTGTTCGATCTCCTGCACGCCACCCCTTCTTCTACTTTGTTGTCTTTTCGAGGCTGTTCTTTGGGGCTTGCTCTTGCTTTGCGCCTATTGGCTCGTTGGAAACTTCAGTCATGGGCTCGCTGCAGGAGGATGGAGTGAACTTGTCCTCAACCGCATCTTTTTCTTTCAGTTCTTTGTCGGGTCTGGCTTCCTCTCACTGTAGAGTTGGAGAAGCAGCCAATCCTGGACCTGGGTGTGACATGATTGCCATGGGGTCGACCAATCCTTCTGGTCTTTCCAGGAGGGTGTCCGAGGTGATGCAGTTACCGCCGGGTATTTGGTCCTTCAGCGAGACACAGCTCACTGAACAGGGCTTTCGTTCCTTTGCTTCACAAGCTCGTCATTTAGCCAAAGAACAGGGCCGACAGCTTCGAATACACTCAGGCGCTGCTGCGCCCCCTCGCTTTTTGGGTTCTGCTGCTGGTGCTTGGACGGGTGTGCTTACTATGTCTGACTTCCCTCAGCAACTTGTTCATCCACAATGGAAGGGAGCTGAATTTGAATCAGGCAGATTGCTCATGAACACCGTTCACATTGGTGGCTTGACTCTCACAGGGTCTACTTTGTATGGTCCTGCCAATTCGCCTACATGGAAGCAGCCTTTATCTCTGCTCTCAGAACTCATTGACACGGTCACTGAGGAGATCGTCCTTGGAAGATCTGGATTGCGATATGTTGCAGGGGATTTCAACTGTGATCGCATGCAGCTTCCGCAATTTCATGAGTGGTATCGTAGAGGTTGGCGAGAGCTTCAACAAGTTGCCTATGACCGTTGGCAGCAGCCTTTCCAGCCCACTTGTAAGGCTTCAACTCAGCGGGACTTCTTCTGGGCTAGTCCAGAGCTCTTGCAACGACTGCAGCAAGTGGAAGTGTGGCACGATTTGTTCCCGGATCACTCCGTTGTGGTGGGGCACTTTGACCTTGCTCGGAGTTTGGAACCGTTGTACTACTGGCCCATGCCGGTCACTATCCCGTGGGCAAACTGCAGGATTGGTGAGTGGCACCACGCTGTTGCTGAGGTGCATCATGCTCATTCCTGGTCTGGCGACACTACTTCTGCCTTTTCTGCTTGGAGCTCTAAGGTTGAAACTTCCTTGCATGGTTTCTTTGACAAGCAACTTGGGAGTTTTCCTCATGGTGCGGGAGGTCGTGGTGTGCACAATGTTCCTCTTAAGGTTACCCAGATGACACCACGTTCCAAGCCAGCGCGTCCAGGAGAAGAAGGGCTCTCTTCCTCCTTTGTTGGCCTTGCGGTGCACCGTTGGTATCGTCAACTCAGACGTCTTCAGGCACTTGTGCAGTCATTGCGTGCGGGAAGCAACACTGCTGGTGCTACAGTATACAGGGTGCAGCTATGGGCCTCGATTACCAAAGCGGTTGGCTTCAAACCGAATTTTCACAGTTGGTGGATGCGAAGACACATCCAACTTCAAACATCTCCACTGCTTTTGCCACAATTCCAACCATCGCTGGTAGAAGCTGAAGCTATCTTCCAGGACTTTCGCATGAACTTCAGAAGTTTTGAGCAGTGGCACATTGACAAGAGATCTGCTTTGCTCAAATTAAGGCGAGAAAGCTCTGCTAAGGCACTTTTCAGGGAAATGAGACCAGACCCACATGAACCGCTGGACACACTGTGCTGCACAAGACTACCTACGATGTCGACCAGATTCACGCAGCGGCAAATGTTGTCAAACTTGATCCTCCTTTGTCTGCCACGCAGGGCACTTTCTGGCTTGATGACGAGCAGATTGAAGTGGAACAGAGTAAGCAAGTTGATTTCCCAGCCCAACAAGGCTGGGTCACAATTCACTCGGACCGCCTCATTGTGCCTGGTCAAACTGTTGAACAGCACGTGGTGTTGGACACCCCTCAAAAGGTGCAAAATGAGCTCGCTGATCTTTGGGCTGGGAGATGGAATGTCATGGCCTCTCTTCCTGATGGTGCATGGAACCGCATTTTTGCATTTGCCAGGGACTACACTGCTACTTTGCCTTTGCGGTTTGAGAGATTCACTGCTGAACACATTGTTTCCACTCTCAAAAAGGGTAGTGGACTCAAAACCCGTGGACCAGATGCCTGGAGTAGGGATGACTTGCTGGCACTTCCCAATGAGTTCAGGTTAGATCTGGCGAACCTCTTCACTGCAGTTGAATCTGGAGCTGACTGGCCGCAGCAACTTTGCAGGGGACATGTGACATGCATAGCTAAGGTTGCTCAGGCCACTGAGGCTACGCAGTACAGACCCATAACCCTCTTCAGTTTGCTGTATCGAATTTGGGGTAGCTGTAGAGCTCGTGAGTTGTTGGCACAGCTTGAACCTTTTGCCAACTTCGACACCTTCGGCTACATCAAGCACCGTTCTTGCGTTGACTTGACTTATGCCATCATGGTTCAGGTGGAAATAGCACTGCTGCAAGGGCTCTCATGCAATGGCGTCATGGTGGACATCATTCGATGCTTCAATCATTTGCCTCGCAAACCGATTTTCCTTTTAGGGCGAAAGATGGGACTTCCCATGCCTATACTTGTGGCCTGGGACAACTTCCTTCGAAACACCCGTCGTTCTTTTCGGGTGCAGGGGATGATAGGGCGAGAAGTCCCGTCTGACAGTGGATTCCCAGAGGGAGACTCAATGAGCTGTTTGGCTATGATTGTAGCGCTCTTCAGCTTTCACAGATACTTTCAAGTCTTTGAACCAACGATATCAGCATACTCGTATGTCGATAACCTTGAGCTGGTTTCTTCTGAAGTAATGCATCTGGTTCGAGGGCACCTCACGCTTCAAGCCTGGACAGAGATGATGACATTGCATTTGGACCAATCCAAAACACTGGCTTGGGCCGCCCAAGCTGCTGATCGTAGACTTCTGCAGCTTGCTGGCTTTGCCATTACTGAGGGGACTAAGGATCTTGGTGCCAGCATGTGCTATGGCTCTCGCCATCGTAACCGAACGCTGCAGCGGAGAATCCTTTCCACTAAGGTATTTTTTGAGAAGCTGCGCAGATCCAATGTTTCCACATGGCACAAACTTCAGATTTTACACGTTGCTCTTTTTCCACGTGCACTGTTTGGAGCTGATGCAGCCATTTTGGGACATCACTGGATCACCAAATTGCGGACCTGGACCATGAGGTCTCTCGGCTTTGCACGTCCAGGAGCCTCGCCATTGATCCGACTAGCTTGGATCTGTCCGGTGAACACGGACCCGGGTTTTGTTGAATGCTGGAACGCCTGGAGCTCTTTTCAGCGGCAGCTTCACAAAAGTACTTTCATCAGGAAAGCCTGGGTAACATTTGTTGAGTATGCTGGATCTAAGGGCACATATGGTCCTTTTGCCAAGATTTTTGCACTCAGTAGCACTTTGGGATGGAGCTTGAGTCATGATTTGGTCTTGCGCATCTCTGACGGATGCCAGGTGCCGTTTTTGAGCCTTGACCGTGCCACTCTCAAGCATTTGGTCACTGAGGCGTGGTTTCAAGTGATTGCGCGCTCGGTGCGCCTCAGGAAGGACTTCAGTGACCTTGAGGGCATTGATCATGCAGCAACTTTTGGTGCCCGAAACACACTTTCTCATGCTGAGCAAGCTTTGCTTTCGTGTGCCCAAGAAGGCACCATGTTTTTGAACACCTTCAAATCCAAATTTGATCCGAGTAGGACCTGTTTGTGTGATTTTTGCGGACAGGAGGACACGCTGGCTCATCGAGCCCTAACTTGTCCGCACTTCGAAACCGCCCGAAGAGATTTTGAGGACTGTGTTGCCTGTTGGCACTGTTTTCCCTCAGCGCTCACGCATCACGGACTAGCGGGTGCAAATCCTTGGATTGATGATTTTCATTCTTTGTTGCTGCAAATTCCATGGGAGCCCACAGAGTGGCACAGCAGTCCCTGTGGAATTGGGACTCAGCGGATCTTCACTGACGGAAGCTGCTCACATCCTAAGGTACCGTGTTGTGCCTTGGCTGCCTGGGCTTGCGTCCACGAAGATAGTGGGCAAACTCTAGCCTCAGGACTTCTTCCTGGACTGAGACTGCATAACAACAGAGCTGAACTTTTTGCTGTTTACGTGGCAGTTCTTTGGAGCAAGCACTTTTTCTGTGACGTGGACATCTTCACTGATTCTAGCTATGTTGTACGCGGCTGGGATGCTCTGTTGCGCACTCGACATGTTTCCTTTGACTGCACCAACTCAGATCTTTGGGAGTTGCTCTGGCAGGCAATGCTAGTCCACGAGAACACGGTTCGGCTGTACAAAACAGAAGCTCACCTGGACCAGACGCTTCTGACGGATGCCAATTCGGCCTGGCAGGCGCACTGGAACAGTGTTGCAGATCTTTCTGCCAAAACTGCCAGACGCACGGCAGGCTGCGCTCGCTTGCGTCAAGTTCATGAGAGACTGATTAGGACCTATGAGTGGCACAGGCACTGGGCGCTCCGCTACCAAGCCTTTCTGCTTTCGTTGGCTCAAAGGTCTATGAGTACTTCTACTACTGAGAGTATGCATGATGATGACTCGGCGTTGAATTTGTTTAACTGGTGTTCTCAGAACCCAGGTGACCTTTTTGATGAGCTGCCCCTAGATTTAGCTTCCCTGATCTCCCAATCAGTGAAACTCCGTGATTTTGGCCTTCCCATAGCCTTGAAATTGGCTACTTGGCTCTCGCGGCTAGATACTGCGGCCACGCATCTTGCCCCAGTTTCGTATCTCGAGGTGTTTGTTGCTTTTTCGAGTGAGTTTGATGTTGTTTTGCCGGTTCAGGTTGGTACTCGAAACAACTTACGGTGGCAAGATCCTTTTAGTAGGAGGGCTGGTGGGCTCCTTCAACGTACCTTGGTATCACAGGTGAAGGTTTTCAGGTATCTCTTTGATTCTTTGTGTGTTGCTTTGGGTTTTGTTTTTGACGGTGCTAGTGTCAGCTATCCTCAGTTTCATCTTCATCTGTCCTTGGATGCTCGTGTGATACCTTGGCCCACGTCTTTGGTGTCAGTCACCTTGGCGAAGTTGGGGGAGTTCTTCCAGGCCAGACCCCTGCGGTCTTCGCAGGAGTTCGCTAGGCATTGGCCCTAAGATGGGGCTGAAGCTTCTTAGAGCGAGGCGGCTCTGCTTTGCCGAGCCCTTCGTGTCGGCGACTTGTCCGAGAGGTGCGCGGTGTTACTTCTGCACTTTGTGGGGCTTCTGCACTATGTCTGCTCAAGCACCAAGAAAGCAAGAAAGAGTATAGGTATTGCTGTGTACAGAACTATATAGTTGCACAGATACAACACAGAAGCACACAGTGGCTACTCAATTGCTTTTCACAAGCAGGTGCTATCCAACTTGCACAGGTGGAAACTGGAGTGAATAACACTGTTGCAATGCGCAATCACCAAACAAGTCACTAACCTTTTATACCATCAATTCACAAGAAATCACTGACCACTTACCATCACAAGACAATTAGCTCATTGAAAAAAGTGTTCACTGACAACGCAGTTCACTGTGCAGCAGTGGCGGCTCTACATCAGAAACCTTCCACATTGGATGCACTGGAAAGAGCTGGAGAACTGGATCAGGAAATGGGCCTTGAGAAACCAAAAGTCATCTAGATATTTCCGGGCACACACCGCACCTCGGCCTATCTCCATTACAGGGGCCTGACCTCAGGGCAATTGCAAACTGTGTGTGGCCACCTATAAGCCCACAATCTGCAAACTAGCACGTGAATCAACAACACCAGACACAACAGCAACAGCGTCCAGCTCTGCAGCAGCCTCAGCGTCAACAGAACCACCACTACCACCACCTCCACTGTCAGATGCTCCACAAACACCTCCTTTGGAAAGCTAGGTGTGCTATCAGGAGGCCTTCTTTACACACCAGATGCTCGCAAGCGGCTATCAAAGGAGGATGCGCAACAAATGTCACTGATGAAAGCTCAAGCTAATTTGGACACCAAGAGGCCAGCTACAGCAGTGGTAGGTATTGTTTTCTTTTGTTTGTCTCTGGGATTCTATTTTCTATTTTCAATCTAGTCGAGATCAGTTCAGTTAACATGGCAACTGTGGAGCCTCCAGGTCTTTTTTGGCCAATGTGGAAGCTGACATGGAGAGGCTCCACAAGCGCAAAGCCGACCAGCAAATGCAGCATCAAGCTTATGTAGAGAAGTTGAAAGGCAAGGTTGAAAGCATTGACCAAGAGTTGAGCATATGGAAGAAAGCATTGACGTTGGTCACCTCTATCGAGCATCACGGAACGAAAAAAAACAGGATCTCAACTGGGTGGAGTACTTGGGCAACCTGATGGAAGAGCCACTTCCTCCATGCCCTGACCTTTTCCAGAGACCAGATTCCCCGTTTGCGCAAGTATTGGTGGAGATGACCGCCCTTGTTGGAAAGCTTCAGGAGCAAAAGCGGCAGCTGGAGTCAAAGAAGGACAGTCGAATCACAATGGTGCAAAAGCAAGCTGAAAAAGAAACTCGGAGTCAACAAAAGGCTTAGGAGAAGGCAGAAAAATTCTTGAACACACCTGAAAGAGAGAGCGCCAAGGCCAAAGATAAAAGGAGAAGGAGGCAGTTGTGGCGTTCAAAAAGGATCTTCAGCTCGAAAGGTAAAGTCAAGCAAAGGAACGATGATGGGGAGTACGAGCAGCCTTTGCCAAAAGCAAGAAGGAACATATTCATTTCGCAGAAGTTGAAAGTGGCTGACTTCTACTTGCGAAAAAAGAAGGAGAACGATGAAGGCCAGCTACCACCAAAGACCAACCCCGAGAGACTATGCAGGGAAGAGTTCCCAGATCTGGTCGGCAAAGTCACTCCGCTTAAGTGGGTGCATGCTGCAGCTCGGGAGAAGTGGAGAGACATCCCGAGCGCATTGGCATCCAGACTGCTCATCACGCCCAATACTTGGAGAGAGAAAGTTGGGTGTGCGCGACGTGCTCGCAGCCATGGATCATCAGTCCCACATGAGCTACAAGTGGAATTAGGCCACTTGATTGCCGAACACTGTCAAGGACTGAGTGAAGTGACAGAGCGGAAGGAAGTGGTGACTCCAGATCAAGTTGCTACCTAGCTGTAATTGCTACGTTCGGGGGACCACTTGGCAAGGACCAATGGATGGTTTGTTGCTATTTGTGGGGTGGCAATGCCATGTTAGTGAGATGATAGTGTGTCAGGTAATTAGGCTGGTGCTCGCAACTTAGGCTACAACGATCCAGAGCCTCATTGAAGACTGGAACAGCAATTTGACAAGCATTGCAGATCAGGTCCAAGAGTGGAACGATGAGATCCGCTCAAAGCTCCAAGAGAAGAAGATATCTCCAGGCTATCGCCGCCTACGTTTCCAAGCCAATAGAAGTCCAGATCCCTTCCAAGCGCTGGTGTTCCTGGTTTCTGAAGGAATGGGGTTGGTCAATTTTGACCAAGGGATCTGAAGCGCAGGCTTCATTACCTTTTGATCATCCGGACATGAAGTTGGCCAGGGATTGGGTATCTTCACTTGTTCGAGATGAGATCACAGTGTGCATCCTGGCTGTATACTGAACTATGATCAGTTGTGGCGCTCAGCCTGGAGCTTCGGTTGCAAACTGTTTTGGAAGAATCCTGAGATGATAGGCGAGCGGAGCAAACGGAGAAAGGTACTAGCCACCTTGGACAAAAAGCTCCACATGGTCAAGGGAGCAAGACGAGCTCTCACTGTGGCTTTGGACAAAGTTAAGAGCTAGCAACCTTTGTCTTTTGCTAACATGGCAATGATTGGTAGCTAGCAACCTTTTTCAGGATTTCTGAAAAGTGGCTGTGATTTGCTTCAAACAGACTCTAAACATCAAGGAAAGACAGGAAATAAAGGAATTAGACCAGGACAATAACTAAGAATTAACAATTAACTAGCTACTTTTGGTGGACTTTTTAAGAGGGGAGAGCGGTCCCTCAATTTTACTAGCGTGGCACTTGGTTCCTGCCAGTGCCGTGCCCGAAGAGGCGAGAGACCTGGCACAGGAGAAAGCAGAGAACCCATTAAGGGAAGAGACAGGGGGAGTCACCGACGTCTGAAAATTCCAAAATTTTCAGAAATGGCCTCAAACCTCTTCAAACCTCAAGGGAAGACAGGAACTGAACGAATTAGACCAGGAAAATAACTAAACTTTAAAAATTAACTAGCTACTTTTTACACTTGTTCTCCTCTCCCCCTGTCTCTGTGTCTCTTCCCTTAACGGGGGGAGGCCCCTCACCTGGAGAATTCGCAGCCAGTACCCCCCGCGACTTCCAGTCTGAACCGGTCCTCGGGTCCGCTCCCCCACGGGGAGTCAACAGGTTCGGAGTCGTGGTGGGTCCGAACAGGTGAGAGCGACCCGTCTCTGGAGAGGTTTTCCCAAATGAGCTGCTCCGTTCGATTGACCGGAGCCCCCCTCCGAAGGAGTGAAGTTAAAGTGTAAACACAGAGACAGGGGGAGAGGAGAAAAAGTGTAAAAAGTAGCTAGTTAATTTTTAAAGTTTAGTTATTTTCCTGGTCATATTCCTTCAGTTCCTGTCTTCCCTTGATGTTTCAATAGTTTTGAGGCCATTTCTTGAAATTTAGGGCTTTTTGAAAAATGTGAAAATTCAATGTTTTTGGACAGTTTCCTGGTCTAATTCCTTCAGTTCCTGTCTTCCCTTGAGGTTTGAAGAGGTTTGAGGCCATTTCTCAAAATTTGGGATTTTCAGAAATTTCCTTCAAACAGACTCTAAACATCAAGGAAAGACAGGAAATAAGGGAATTAGACCAGGAAAATAACTAAGAATTAACAATTAACTAGCTACTTTTGGTGGACTTTTTTCACTTTAAGGGGAGGGTCCCCGTGGACCGGATCTTTTCTATGGCACTGTGTGGCACAGGAGCCCAGAGGTGGTATTGCTAACATGGCAGATGGATCTATAAAAACACTCCCCAGCTAAAAAGTCATGTCTGAAACCCCAAATACGGTTTATATACATGGTCGTCTTTTTGGTGCACCCGAGTTCTTGTTGCTAGGGGAAGAGGAAGCCTTTTTCGATGGAGTGGATTATTGTTCTTTGTCAATTCAATCCTTCCATCCTTGGTTTCAGGTTCTGACAAGCAGTTGGTCAGATGGATCGCATGGTCCATTGGCCTTTTGCTGTCCAGAAGGATACATAAGCCCCAAGGACATGGCAGCATTCAATGAGGAATTCCGTGGCCAGTATCTCCTGCTTTCTAGCGAGAGCCGGACTCATTTTATGACAAGCCAGACTCTGCTTCAAGTATTTGAACAGCTGTATTCACCAGCTCTAGCTGCCCAAAGAAAGAAGTTTCTTGCATTGTATAGCGCCAGTTGCCATGTTAACCGCTGTTGTTGCCCAGGTGTTGTTCCTATCGAGAGACTGGCTCATCTAAGGCACAATGCTGAAGGTCAGAATGCGGCATTCATTTGTGATGCTTGGACCGGTACATTTGCTAAGGGGAAAGGAGAACACCACCGGAGAGAGACCTTTTACAAGATGCACCGAATAGTTGACCCGATTAGATTTGCAGCTGGCTGGTCATCTCATGGTCAACTGGTTGATTCCATGCATGGGCTTCTCGGCCTTATTCGACCATGCTTCACATGCACTCTGTCTGTTTGCTTCAAGTGTTTGCTTTGCTTGACCTTGGCAGAAAGATGCTCAGAGGAAACTTTTGCGTCGTGCCAATGCTTGGTAAGCCAAGTCTGTGGCAGCCAAGGGTATTTCGAGCCAAGATCCGAGAGCAAGACCTGAGTGCTTGTGGAATGGTCAGCGATCTACGATCAAGACCCAGCATCTTGACAGTGGGGATAGCGAATGCCAGGTTAGTGGGTACAGGTAATGCTACTTCAGAATCACTGAAATTGGTATCGGTATGAGCAAGTCAGGTTCCTTTCAAGATTTCCACCATCAGCACAGGCTATGATAAATTGGAGATTCGAGGATCCGGGCAAGTCAAAGCATCGGTGAGGAGCTTCAAAGAGGTGGTGGATCTTACCCGCAATGCATGGGAGGCTTTGCCTTCAAGTGTGTTCAAAGCAGCTTGGATGTGCTGTGGCTACTTCGGCAGTTCTCATTTCGACCAGTTTGGTGGAGCAGAACTTGACTTTTCCGCTGCCAAGAATTTGCTTGAGCCTTACCATGGTGCGAATGGATCGCCACAGCGCTGCATGGTCTATGAATGGCAAATCAAGGCGAGATATGTTGTGGGTTGTATGCAGCATAGATAGATGACATGAACTGCTATGTTAGCGGGGCAGTTTTCACAGGACAGTAAGAATTGGGTGAGCCAAAGGTTCACTTGGAGTTGCTAGGTTAGCAGGGTGAGGCCATGAGTCGGGAAACTGACCTTGTCAGGAGAAAGAAGAATGGCATCCGCTGACTTATGAAATAGCCAGCGCCTTTGTCAGGACTTTGGTTCAGCATCAGCATGCTGTGGACATGGCTCGCAAACGGATCGAGGAACTGCAGGCTGCGGGCACCACGAATGCAAAAACCCTGCAAGCTGAAGAGGATCTCAAGAAGCTTCTGAACATCAACAAATCAATCCCACTCAACAAGCGGACAGGGCAAATGGCCACCGAGGATTGGATCAAGAAACACATAGTATGGAGTGCTGATGGGTGCCCCTCTGTCAACGCCAAGAGCAAATCTCAGCCTTGCATCATGACAATGCATTATGATGCCACAATGCCTCTAGTGAAGCTGGCCCTTCGACTTTCACCAAACACTTTCTTCAGGAAGTGCGCTGCTGGGACATGGTGTCCAGGGAAGCCAATGCCGAAGTTGGAGAGCTGGTTGATGGTTTTGCACACGTGCTAGAAGAGAGTGAGGCAGAAGATTTGCCCAGTGGGCCAGAGGAGGAAGGCTCTGAGGAGGAGTCTTCCGTGTCATCAGCCACACAAATGGAGGACGAGTTGGGGCTTCACGGCCAAGTTGATGTGGAAGGCCAGATGGCAACAGCAGCGCGTGCATTAAAGGGCCTGTAAAGGGTTTGCCAGGTTAGTTGCTTAGAGCCCCTAGACTGGTCTTTACTCTTCCTGTGTGCTGCTGACAATCTGCCCGGAAGGTGATGGTTTCCATGTGCAAGGCGACCTGGAAAAGATGCCTGATGCTCTCCTGAGTGATGAGGAGGTTGAGAGCCAAGAAGGTGTGGATGATGTTCTAGATGAAAAGGATTTGGTCAGTGGTGACACCGGTAATGTTGGATTGTACTTTCACCGCAAGTCCAAGCAATGGCACGGACAATACAAAGGTCAGAAAGGGAGAGCACCAACTTTTGGAGCCTTGCGTTCAGAACGGAAAGCCATCCTCATATGTATACTCTTTTTGCGGCAGTAATATTTCAAAGAAACGGGTGATGGCTTTGATCACGTGACCAACTTGCAGTCAGAGCTTGACAAGTGCGAGTTCTGAACGAACAAACTTGCATGACCGTTTGGTAAAGAAAAAAAGGTCCGAAAAGAGAGCAGTGAACACAGACACACATTTCAGTTGCTGTGTTAGGTGTCTTTCCACTAGATTCGAGTCTAACGGGGCAATTGCTGAATTTGAGCAATTTGGTCTCCAAGAATGGATTGATCCAACTCGTGGCAATTGGTTTTCGCCTACCCAAATCTTATTTAAAGTTTTTGATGAATACTGACTGCCACGTTAGCTCTCTGGCACCTTTCCCAGACTGCCAGGTTAGGTAAAATATGGACACACAATTGCTTCGTTACTAGCCCAGAGAGTAGGTTTCGCTTTCTTACTTTTGCAGCTTTGTGGTTGTAACTTGGTTGGTTCCAAGGCCAGCAGATTGGTGGAGCTTCACTGGTGATTTGGATGCAGCTGCTGACCTGGATGGGTCGATGGAATGACACTGTTCCACCCTGAAGAAGCCTGAGGATATAAACAAGCGTTGCTGCATTTGCTGGCTGCTTTACTTTTCCATTCGAAATGATTGGGCTTACACTTTTGCATATTGTGTTGCTTCATGTGGGCTTACTTACTTTTGCACTTTCCAATTCAATCAGTGGACTGGCTTTTGTACTTTCCAGTGCAATCAGTGGGTTACTTTTGCACTATATGTTTCTTAATTTATCATTTGAGTTTTTTTGGAGAAGTTCTATATTTGTTTAATACCTTGAACCTTTGCCCAAAAATACAAAACTTTCATGCAACCTTTTATGACTGTCTTATTTCTATTCCCGAAAGCATTGCGAAGGGTTCTTCCGGAAAATCCCTTGAACACTGACACTTCGACACTTACACTTGCACACTGACACTTCCACCACATTCGCACTACATACACTGACACTTCGACACTGACACTTACACACATACACACTGACACTCGGCAAGCACGCAGTGTGAGTATGCAAGTGTGAGTATGCAAGTGGGCACGCAAGCATGCAATGAGCATGCAAGCATGCAATGAGTAGGCAAGTGTGAGTATGGAAAACTAGCACGGGAGATGTCCTAATGAAAAAACATTTCCCCACTTTATAAATTCTCTCTTAAAGGCGGAGGGCGGGACGAACAGCGTCAACCGAAAGTGCAACCCTCTGCGGAGATCGTGCGTGTCGAGTGCGCGAAATGCAGGC